TTTATTCATTAAACCAAACGGTGACGTTTTGGCTTAGAGATTTCCCTCCGTTTTCTTTATTCAACTGGGACCGTTGGATCGCACGAATAAGTCAAGTTTCAGGATCTAATCCAAGGGCTGAGGGCCATCGTCCCCAATACCTAGGGTTTGCAGGAAAATCGTGACTCATGCACCATACTTCTTCTTCCTCGTTCTCTCTAATCTCTAGATGAAATTCAAAAATTCTAAAAAGGAAAATGGCCTACTCATTACAAGGAACAAAACTGCACATGTGATTTTTATTAATTCTTCCTGGATCATCCTAACAGAAAGCTAGAAGATCTTGGTTCGAAAACATTTCTCTGAGATCAGTCCTGATAAAACTACAATCTAATGGTGTAAACATGTTCTTGGCTCTATACTAAACATTCTAACCTAGTCTAGACTAACTAACACTCAAGATCCAGCCAATTCTTGCAAGTTAAAGATTCATGCACCTGCCATGAAATCTCATACAGAGCTCTCAAACTCACGGGGTAAGATCAACTAGCCTAGTACACTAATTCTACACCTAAAGAACTAATAGAAACTACATAATTAAAGAGATTCGTGGAAAGAAAGAAACCTGTCAAAGTTCAATGGTGGGTGTAGCTAGGGCTTGATTCAGAGCTTGCAAGGGCTTCAATGTGATCCTTTGAAGATGAATAAACTTCTGTTTGCACTGATCTTGAATGAGAAGCCTTGTGGTGGAAGAAATCGTGTGTTGCTTGATCTTGAAGGAAGCTCTTCAATGGCAATGTCTCTCTCTCTCTCTCTCTCCTCTGAAAACTCTCTTCCTGACCAACCTCTCACTTCAATGTGGATCACTCTTCTTATAATGATTGATGGAAGAGGCTAGAAGCTTCTAGAATCATCTAGAAAAGCTTGGAAATCTCCTTTGGTGATAAGTTCTACATCTCATATCTCATGCCTTGAACCTTGTAAATTTTGTGTCAAATTCTCCTTATGTGAGATATTGAGAAGGAATGAGTGAAAATCAGGCCTTTCCTTGCCTTTTGTGAAGTTTTGTTTAGTTGCCTTATTATGCAAGAATGAGAATTACAAAGTAACCCCCATTTCTATGCTTCAAATCAAAATTCTACTTGAACCATTGTTTTTAAAACATTGTTTGGAGTCAAAATGACATATTGGATGACCCATTTTGGATTTGTACATCTCCTAAACCAATTTCCAACTTCAACTTTTTAAACTTATAAGCCATTTTTAGGTCATTTTTACCCAATCTTGTAAATCCTTGCTACAAGCTCTTTCAATAACTCATGACCACTTTTCTAGACTTAAAATCCCATTTTGAACAACTTTCATGTTTTGAGTTTTTCCATTTGAGGCTTGGAAATAGGAGATATGGCCTTTGCTTAAAATGACCTATAACTGCCAAATGACCAAAATACCCCTGTCTTGTTCAAACCATAAGTTGAGTTCCACAAATCCTATCAAGGACTTCTACCACTCAAATTAAAGATAAGAAGATGATCTTCAACATTCATGTTGACCAAGAGATCATAGGAATCATCCTACTAGGGAAAAAGTTGTCTGCAAGTTGGGTGACTTTCAAGGACCCAGATTCACACACCTCAGCTGACCTGTAATTTGTCAAAACCATAACTTGAGCTCTGCAACTCCTATCAAGGACTTCCACCACTAAAATTAAAGCTAAGAACAAGCTCTACAACATTCATGTTATGGGGAAGATGAGATATCAATCACATCTTGAGCTAAAACTGCCTGGAAGATAGGGATCAAATTAGGGTTTTTTCACTGACAATCCTTGGAAACCCTGACTTAAAACTTCTCAAACTCCTCAATCATGGTGAGTTGGTCTAGGAATCATCCTTATAACATCTCAATACATCATTCCATGATCACATGGCCCTTGGGTTAGGTCTCAACCATCTCCAAATCTTCAGTTGACCTAGGGTTGACCCAGTCAAAACCCTAATTCTACTATTCATGGTTGAATCTTCTGAATTCTTGCATAATGACCTCTCTGGGCTTCATGATGGCTATCAAGACATCTCATAGGCTTTCTCCAAACATCAAGTTCATTCTCAAAGTCTCAGAATCGTCTGAGGAGCACCCACAACTCTCAAGCTATGAAGCACACAACCCTGGTTTCAACCCACTCCTCTGAGGATCTCCTGAACTTTCTGGCGAAGGTATCAACTTTCAAACACTTGATGGTTAAATAAATGTTGGTCAAATTTTGGGGTGCAACAGCTACGACAGCAAAGTCTTAAAGCGTGAGTTCCAGATCGGCGACCCGGACTTGCGAAGACATCAAAGGGACTCACACGAGGGCAAACTCGCCGCAAATTGGGAAGACCCCTATCGTGTTCAGGACAAGACAGAGCACAGGGCCTACTACCTCGAAAACTTACACGGGGATCAGATAGCTCGACCATGGAACGCTGAAAAGCTAAAAAAATACTACAGTTAAACACTGCCCGCGAGGACACCCCTCACAACCACAGGAGTGCGACGTGGTACGACCGCGTCTCCTCAGAGTTAACGAGATAGCAAGCGCCTGCCCTTTGTATGTGCGGGCAGGACGCTCTGCTCGACGGCAACCCCTCGACCGAGAGTCGCCGCCGCAGTACCAAGATCGGCAGAACACCCAGCTCGCGATGGGACGTTCACGCCGCGGGGACTGGTCCACGATCGTGACCCACCCCTGTGACCGACCAGGTAACCACCCCGGTCCACCGGCCAGTTCCCTACACTACCGGGCACAACTGATGTCGAGCTACCACTCCCAACTTAGAAAAATATAAATCACGCATAAATAATCGAGCACACACACAAACTTAGAAAGGAAAACAAGAAATTCCATAAAACGGGCACAAGCCCAGAAGTCAAAACGTTACAATAAACAAGCACAACCCCAGATGTCGAGCAGAAACGATCGAAGGTGTCGAGCCGAAAATTTTAGATGTTGAGCAGCTGCAAATAAGCGAATGAGCAAAAAGACAAGTCAGGTCAACGCTTACCTCAACACGAGACTCGAAGCATCCCTAGGCACTTGAATGCCCTAGGGTAGCTGCCGCACATGGCCCATCCAACACTTGACACGTGGCGTAAGCTGACAGTCGCGTCCCTTCATGTCTCCCTGCCAACAACGTCTGTTGGGGACGTGTCCTCGACCTATACGCCCCGCAGCCCGAAGACGCCATGCTCACACATCCTCGCGAAATTCACTCCGGCGAAACCTCTCCCCGCGCATACCTCCTGCGTCGATATAACGTCATCAAGTCCTCGCTCCCTCTTCTCGAGCTTCGACTTGGGGGGCTCCTGTTCTGGACTGGGCCCCGGCTTGACCGGACGAGCCCAACCCAATGCTACTTGGGAAAGCCCAAGCAGGCCCATATCACGTACGTCGAGCACAAGGGTTCTCCGTCGAGCAGACGTTACCCTCCGCGGGCAGAACCTCCCCCTGTCGGGCAGAAAGACGTGTGCCTCACACGTTCTCCACGTGCTCCCCTCCGCGGGGACACGTCACCAGACAACTACCTACCTCCAGAAGAGCAGGTCAGCCCACCTTCCGGAGATCACAGGGCAGTTGACCTAGGGCGAATACCACGTCCTAGTCTTCACCACGCCACGTAAACCCTAGCAGTCCATTGAGTTGGGCCTGCCAATCCAACCCAACACAAGTGACCGTTGGCCCTGCACTGGGGTCTCACTATAAATACCCTCTTTCACTAGAGGGTCAGATATTCAATTCTCAACCTTCCCTCTGTATTTGCTTCACTCCGGTCCTCTCTCATTTTAGCATCGGAGTGTCTTGCAAGTACACCCACTCCTCTTTCTTACCACCGGTGAACAGGCAGCAGATCAAAGGCGCGTGGCAGTCCAGTGATTCTCTTTGATTTTGAAAATGCATCTTCGAATGCATCTTATACATACATAATTCATTTATTTCTGTGCCACATCTCAATTCTATGAATAAATTTATTCTTGAAATACATTTTCGTAGACTCTCCAAAAATACATTTCTAAAACCTATTAAAAATAAAAAATTTGATCGGTCTTAAGAAACTTATTATGGCATCATAACAATCTCAATTTTCAAATAAATAAATTTCAAAATTGAATTCACTTGAATTTTTATCTATCAACCATTTTGTCCATTGTGTCAATTTTGAGTATGTATTTCATAGAACACAACTTCCGAATCTCAAATTTTTGATCATTTTTTCCTATGAAAATTTAAGTGATCCGTCGTTGTAGAAAGTTGGAATTACCAATGGATCATGACGACCAAATCCACATGTTTAATTTGAAGTTTCTAACTCTTGAATCTTTGCCACAATTGGTGACTTTTCTTCAATGGTTTAGAGAATGTACAAACACACTACAATTCTTGGTAATTTGCGACTCTAAATGAAAAAATACATAGGAAGCCTACTACGATATACGGTAAATATACAAACATACTACAATTCTTGGTAATTTGCGACTCTAAATGAAATAATACATAGGAAGCCTACTACGATATACGGTTGCGAGACACCCCTGTTTTTAAAAATGCAATCAACAGGTTTCAGAAATACATTTTCGGAGACTTGTTGGAAATGCATTTTTGAACTAAATTTATACATAGAATTGACGTGTGGTTTAAAAATGAATAAATTGTGTATGTATGAAGTGTGTCCGAAGATGTATCTCCGAAATATAAAAATATTATTGTATTTTTACGAGGTGCACTAATAATCTATAAGGTTCATTAAGAAATCCCCTTGAATAAACCTAAAGGCACACTGTGCTCATACAAAGTTTCTCAATTGAACTAACTAAATCATCTCAAGTATCTTCGCAGTCACAAAAAGCCTATTATCAATTTCAACAAAACACCTTTACAGGAAGACACATTACTCGCCAACAACTTTTCCTGCAACTTCCTCATGCACACTTGAACTCAGAACATGAATCACAGAATGGTACAAACTCTTTTTATTCTGTGATTAATCTTCATTGGAGAAAAAATCATCATATTCAGAAAAAAAATCATCATCTTCAGAAGGCCCCTTTCTAAGTTTTTCTTGTAGTTCAAGATTCTTCGGCCAAACGAGTTCAGTTTCCTGACCTGATGTCGAGAAATATCTCTCCAGTAACATCTAGTTAAAGAAAAAAAAATAACAATCAATAATCTATAACTACCTTCTCTTCTAATTGCCACTTTAAAGTAGAAAAAACACGAAAACAGATATCCCGAAAACACAAATTTGTATAAATTTTTCTACGTAACTGTTACCAAGTTATTGAGTATGTTAATTTCCAGAGTTTGAACTCTGAACCTGTTTAAAACTCAGCTCAAATTTTTATTTTTTTTTGGTATAAACAGAATATCTATCTACATACCACGGCAGCGTACGCATCAAGTTTCTTCTGCCGAGTAGATTTCTTCAATCCCCTGAAAGAGTTTTTTTAAGTGTGTAAAATCCAAAGTAAAGAGTATAAGTATAAATAGTAAAATTTAATTCAATTAATAAATGTCGATATTGTTAGGCTGAATACTTTGTCTCAGATTCGAATCTGCAACCTCACAATTATATTGTCACTTCGTCTCCCAACCCAAAAACTGAAAGTATAAGGATATACAATATAACCGATAAATATAAGTTTAAAAGCAATTACATGTCGACCATTCGATCGATGGCATCTGTTGTTGTTCCGTGTTCATCTTGTAGATATACTCTCCAACCCCTGAAATTAGAATTGAGATATAAAATAGAAATAAAAGTTGTGATAAAAAATATAAACACATTAAAATGCATCACCTCTCAGCAGCTCGAATAGCAAGCCTTCCGGCAACGGTACGGACTATGTTCGACTGTGTCGTTTCCTTTCCGTCAGAAGATTTTGGAAGTCCAATAACAAACTCATCAGCCTCCTATAATTTACAAAATCATATTATGTTATCTCTAACTCTACAAAACAGATCTTCATCAACCTAAATTTAAGCGCTTCATATGAGAAAAGATGAATCCGGCCGGACCTCTTTTTCGGCAATGTTCATTATCTGCACCTCGAGTTTCTGTCCTCGCAATTCCAAAACCTAAACCAACTTTAGGATTATAAGGATGGATGAATAATGATGAAACACAAATATGATACTCCAAAATTGCACTTAAAGGGCGTTTGAAATGATTTATTAGAACTTATCTACTGACATATGCATCACCAATGAAACTATTTGAGAGATTTTATGGAAACATCTTATGACATGTTAATAAGTTGTTTTCAGCTTATTATCCTAAGTTTTTTAAGATAACTTTTTAAAACAACTTATAGCCTATAAGAAACACATTGTCTCTAATTTATTTTTGTTATAAAAATAACCTATACATAAGGATTTAGGGTCCAATTGATATACATATACCTTCTCAATCCAGTGTTTAGTGAGGGAATATGATATGATAAGTTAATCCTATAACATATCTCATCTTGTGTTTCTAGTTGAAATTCTTATTATGAAATTATGTTGGATTAGAAATCAGTAGATAAGATAAGAAAATAAATTAATGATATTTTCTTTTTTGTTTATTTATTAAATTTAAAAATAGTTTTAAAAAAATATAGATAATTTTTTGTTTAGGGTGATGCATCAAAATTCTTGGGAATGTCTAATATTCACTAATAGTCTTTCCCTTAGCCTTTCTATATCTATTACGACTGTTACCGTAATTATATCAAAATAAACCGAAATAGAGTACCAAAATAGTTTGCAAATTCCCTGACCATATTGCAATATCTTCATCTCCAAAAATGTGATCTTCAATGAACTAGGTTACTTACTCATACATAAGGTTATAAATGCCTTGACCAAACTAGGAAGATCATCCAAAAACTAAGATTTCCATATTCAGAATTATTTTCTAACGCATCGTCAACCAATACCATTCATCAACCCTCACCAATTTTCGGTCTATTACCACACCTATCTCAAATGTAACACCACCCTAATCAACTATGTCTTTGAACTCATCACCTATACAAACTTTGTTGTTCCCACATATACTCACTCTATATCCACCTTCAACTCTAGCCTTAACACAAATACACCCTCCACAAATCAAAACATTATTGCTTCCAATAACTCCCCACACCATGCTCCCACGCTACTAGTAATGTATCTACTCTTTCTTCTACAAGTGTCCCAGTGTCCCTCTCCAGAGTTTTCAGCACGTGTCTAGTAGATTAACCATCCTATTTTATTCCGACTCTAATCCACTTTAGTCTGTGTTACCAATCCAAATATATCACTAAGCTACGAAGCACAAACACAGACACTACTACGGCGGATAAAATAAAAGTAATCTAATATAATTACATGTTTATTTTTAAGACTTTTTTTAAATATGAAGTTTTAGGGTTAGAATGTCCTTCATCCAAAAAAACCTCACAGACAGCATAGCTCTGATCCCAACTTTTTCCAACTCTGTTTAAAAAATAGACAAATAAACAACAATAGAGTACCAAATTGCACCTCAAATCATTCCAAATTTAACAGAAACTGAACAACAATAAAACATACCTAATCATAATAATAATAACATTGGATATTTGAATAACAAGAGAAAGTAGAAACTGTTACCGCTAAAGGGCGAACAGAGAAGCCTCTGCTGATTGCAATGCCAGTGCGAGCCATTCCCAAGTCCACTCCAAGGGAGAACCCTCCTATCCATTCTGCTTCCCTCTTACTCCGAAGCGCGTTTGGGGGAAGTTCTTCCAAAGTTATTGCAGCCTTCTTAATTCCATTGTGAATTTTAACTTTGCGGGTAGAATTTAGTTTTGTAAAAGATGAAATTTTTGTATGATTTGAAGGTGAATAAGAGTGGAAGAGTGGGTGGGGTAGTACCGGTTGGAGCAGTTGCTGCGGCGTCCACATTAGAGAGAAGGGATAACTGAAAAAAAAACTATTATCAACTTTTTTTTCTGTTTTCGTTTATTTTTGGTAAGAAATGTGAAGAAAATAATTGGTTTTTTTATTTTGTTCAAAATAATTTTTTAAAATTTTAAAATAAAAAGTATATTTTTTACAAAAAAAATTTAAAGATTGTAGTGGAGTGTGATTCTAAAAGATTAGTTTAGAAAGAAAAAAATCTTAAATTTTTATAAGAATTTGGAGGATTATGTTTATTTTTAAGACTTAAAATTTTTTTTTATTAAAGATTTTGGAGAATTATATTAATTTTTAAAAATATTTTAAAATTTATTTGAATTTAGATTTTTCGTTCAAAAGATTATAAAACTGATTTTTATAAATTTTAAAATATTTTTATAAATTTTTTAAAATTTAAGTGATTTTATTTGTGACGTATAAAATAAGACACTCACTATGTGATTCATTGGTGTTACATAAAAAAAAATTTATTAAGTTCAATGAATGGTTCGAATTTATTAAAATAAAAATTCTAATATGTAGGGGTTGTTTTTTAAAATAAAAAACTAGACACTAATTTCACAAATTTTCAACCATGGTAGATTTGAATAGGGAGAAAAAGTACTTTTACATTACATACTTCTCAAAATAATTGATAAGAGAATAAGACATCAACCACATTTGAGATATTCAATTCTTAACAAAATGATTAAATGGTAAATTTATGGAGGTTTCTAGTAGATTTTAGAAAAATGGATGAAACATCGTGAAAATATAAATAGAGAATATATAAAACTATTTTTTATTCTACCTCTTGATCTTCTTAAGCACCATACATTCTGTCTAAAATACTTTTTAATTTTGGAGATATATTTTTAAGACGCATTTTTTTTCTAATTTTTTTTAATTAATTTCGTAGATACATCTATGAAATATTTTCGTATGCGTATCTATGGAAAAAAAAACTAGAAACAGAAAACCAAAAAATAAACATTGCAATAATAAAATTAACATTCATAAAATAAAAACGGCGTTACAATGATGATTTCAACCGAAATTTAAATACTACATTTCAATAGTCCGATGAACGCCTGCACATCTCTAAGATGTCATCGACCGTTCTTCAGACCGTCGCCTTCAACTCGAGCGAAATTTTCTCTTCGAAACCGAAACACGTTCACCACATCGCCCTAACATCGTCTTGATTCTTGAACTCAAACTTGTTGTAAACAACATTCTCTTCTTTGTCAATTGAAGGTGAACGATACTCAAACTTCACAACCTTTCGTTTGTCATTGTAAGGTAGGCGATATTGGATCTCGTCTATGATATCGGCGAGGTGGTGAGATCCATGAACTTGAACGTCCTCCCGGGTATTTTACCGTCGAAAAAGGAGACACTTGCGACATACTAACGGATCTTGATTTCACACAATTGAGACATTTTTGTATTTGTGTGAAAGATAACAATGAAACTCCAAATTTATAAAAAAATCTATGTGAATATGGACCAACCATTTTCTGTCAAACTTTTTTTCAAAGTTATATCCACGAAACGACCCCATAATTATTGGTTCCGGAGGTGTATCTCTGGAACTTTCGCTTAATTCAAAACGAATCAAAACAAGTGTCACGGGTTAAATCTATTGGTGGTACTCCTTTGAACTTTTTCGCATTCGATTCATTTTCAATGTTGTTCAATCTTTCGAATTTGTGCATCCTTTCAACAAAATGATACAGTCACGTTTCGGCATTTACGGTTGAATGAGTCGTCCATTCCGATGATGTAGGTGGTATGGGACATCCCGGTTTCAAATATAGCAGAAACTTTCGGAGCTGTATCTACAGAACAATCTAGCGCTTAGACGTTCCGGAGGTGCATCTACGGAAGTTTTCATGAACTGAATTATTTCGAAGTTTTTCCTAGCGTTTATCAGTTTAAAATTATTCTGTAAATGTAGCTTTAGAAAAAATCAAATTTTGGCAAAAAAAAATGCGTCTGAATATATATCTTTAAAAACAAAATGCGTTAGGTGCCTAAAAATATCAAGAAATAAATTAAAAAATTCTCATAAATAATAGTCTTGTATCGTCTATTAGTTAACCAAAACAACTTTTTTATTCATTCACTCTATAATTCTAAACCCGAAATTCTATTTTCTATTGTTGGGTATTGATAATCCTTTATTTTCGAGGTTAGAATTTTAAGGATTCAATAGTAAAAGAGTTATTCTACCCATTTCATATTATAAACAAATTTAACTTTTTTAATTTATTAAATTTAAAAAAGCTGGTATAGATGGAATACTCCAATATTAAGTTGGATTATAATTGGGTTTTAATTAAAGTAATGGAAAATCATATTATGAACAATAATTATTTTTTGCACAAAAATTATATGTTTACACTCTCTCATAATTATAAACTCCCACGGAAGTATGACACACAAATGTAAGTGCAAGAAGTTCTTTTATAGAAGTTATGTTTCATATAGAAATTCTGTTAATAGTTATTCGAAAATATGCTATATTAAAGTTATATTTCATATATGGGTAGTTGTGTTGGTAAGGTAGAGAAAGTTTGTGAATATTTTGTGGCAACATTAATAGTTTGGTTGTATTAAAATTAGTAGTTTAGTTGTTTTAATGTAGCTGTTTCATTGTTGTTAGAGTCAGTTTATTTATTTATTTTTAAATATAAGTTCGAGTGTTTATTGAGACAAATTTGATTTATATCATGTATTTTTTAAGATTTTAATGATAATAAAGTATTTAAAAAATAGTTAGTATTTCTAACTAGTTGATTTTTGTGTACATAATTATATTTACTTGATAAAACAGGTTCTGTCACGGAAGAAGCCTTGGTTTGGTTCTGGTCGAGTATTTGTTAAAGAGTCTGATCAGAAAGATATAATTAGTAGATTTTAGAATCAGAAGCGTGCTAAACTCTACCTCTGGAACTGAGTAATGTCAACTCAAGTTCAGATCAGGGACTCGAGAATAGTTGACATTATCTTCAAAAGATTGTGTTGTACTTGTTTCACTGAAGAGTTCTCTGGACAAAGGCCTTGTTCAGTGGATAATTACTTGGCTACGAGTTCCAACACCTGCTTTATTGGAAAAGATGTACTAGGAGATTTAATCTGAATATAATTGTTGGGGATGCTTCAATGACTCTATTTCTTCAACTATAAAAGGAGCAGTTATTCTTTCTCTAAAGAGTCAGTTTAGATAAAAGCCTCTTGCCTTGGGTTTGAGTATTTAAGTCTTAGATTCGAGGAACCTGTGCAAGGAAGTCATGAATTGGAGGTCTATGCAGAAAGTCTTGTACTCGTGGAGTATAAGCAAGGAAGTCTTGAATCCGAGGGGTTTAAGCATGAAAGTCTTAGGATCTGAGGATCTAAGCAGGGAAGTCTTAATCAGGTGTTGAGTAAGCAAGGACGTCTTAGGTTATAGGTCTGAGCAAGGAAACGTCTTATACTTGAGTGTATAAGCAGTTGTAATCTGTTTGATTATAGTGGAAATCTCTTGTGCTGCAAGAGGACTGGACTACTCTCAGTTAGAGAGGAACCGTGATAACTTTTGTGTGTTCTTTGCCTATTTATTTACTTATGTCATTCTATCCGCTGCATTTGTTATTCAGATTCTAAACTTTTGTTTAGATTTTGAACTCTGTTCAGAAGTAGATACGATTTGGGAAACATAATTCAACCCCTCTTCTTGTGTATTTTTCTCACAGGCTAAGAAAGATTCAGAAACTAGGGTTGAAAATAACTCCAGTCAAAGTTTTTGGAAACATAAAACATGGAGTGAAGCTAAAACTTTTTACATGGCAAAAGGACATAATAGGAAAGAACTTGTTAAGACTAACATGAAAGGACCCATACGTGTATGGGTACCTAAATCTCAAAATGTCTTTGCTACATATATGCCTAAAGGAAAAGATGGGAAATCAATCGTGATATCTAGACGGTGGTTGCTCATGCTATATGATGGGAGAAATGCATATGTTCCAAACCCAGAATCTGAAAGAGGAAAAAAGTGTGGGTTTTGGAGGTGGTCAGAAAGGAAAGCTCATAGGTACATGTACCGTTGGTAACTCTCTAACTTTTATCAATAAAGTATGGATGGTAGATGGCTTAAAGCATAATCTACTAAGCATAAGTCAATTGTGTGATAGTGGTTGTGAAGTTATTAATGCTGACAAAACCATTGTATTCAAAGGGAAAAGGAAGAGAAATGTTTACAAAATCAATCTTTCTGAGTTGGTTGATCAGAAGGTCGTCTTCCTAATGACAATGAGTGATGATAAATGGATTTGACACAAAATGTTATGTCACACTAACTAGAGATTAATCTCTAAACTTAGAAAGCAAAAACTTGTTAAAAGGCTGCCAAATCTTTACTATCACTCAGATGCTCTCTGTGGAGCATGTCAAGTTAGAAAGATTGTGAAAACCTCTTTTAAAACTAAAAACATTGTTTCTACCTCTAGACCCTTAGAATTGCTTCACATTGATTTGTTTGGTCCTATTGGGACTGCCTCAATCAGTGGGAAGAAATATGGTTTGGTCAGTGTTGATGATTTCAGTAGATGGACCTGGGTAAAAAAATTTCGATCTAAAGATGAAACATACGAAGTGTTTAGCATCTTCTGTATTCAAGTACAATCTGAAATGGAAGTGAAGATCTTAAAAGTAAGAAGTGATTATGGTAGAGAATTTGAAAATGAGCCACTTGAATCTTTTTGTGAAAGATATGGAACTATCAATGAGTTCTCTTCTCCTAGAACTCCATATCAAAATGGGGTTGTAGAAAGAAACAACAAATATTTACAAGAAATGGTAAGAACCAATATACATAAAAACAAACTTCCAAAGTACTTGTGGGCAGAAGTTGTTAATACGACCTGTTATATTCATAACATAATCTATATTAGACCAATTCTGAATAAAACATTGTATGGATTATTTAAAGGTAGGAGACCAAGAATCTCTTATTTTCATCA